AGACCCTGCCTCAAAAAGACAAAAATAATAATAATAATAAAAGCCCTGGGTTCAATCACCAGCACTGAAAAGAAAAGAAAATTACCTAGTTTGTAAACAGGCATCATGACACATTCATTTAATCCCTTTAGTCTGGGAGGCTGATGCAGGAGGATCACAAGTCTAGGCCAGGCTGGGCAACTTTAGTAACTTACAAAGACCCTGTTCCTCAAACAGGTAAAACAGTGGCTACTTTGTGTTTGGTTGTCTTTTAAAAAATTATTTTTATTTTTGTTTTTCTGAGATAGACTCACTAGTCCAGGCTGGTCTCAAACTGTCGGTGATCCTCCAGCCTCCAAGTGAGTGCTGGGGTTGTAGGCATGCACCTGCACACTGGGCTGTCTTGTTCTCAAGGGCAGAGTTTGGGCTTGCTTCGGTGCAGGAGCTCGGATGTGGGGGACAGTTTGAGTCCCCCGCTGGAGCCTCGGTCTGGTCTCGTCATTAGCATACAGGAAGTGAGAGACAAGGACCCCAAGCCCAGCGACCTCCATTGCTGCCTAGTACGCTCCCTGTGCTGTCCCCTGTGTGTCCCCTGCCCCTGCACACGGGTAGCCCCTCCGACCTGCCTACTGGCAGGATTCTTGATGGCCTCTTGGCTTCAAACCCCTCCTTCCTTTAATCCCAGCCTCTTGTCAGGACAGGAGAGCTGCTGGGTGATCACTCAGTGAACAAGAATTCTGGGGCTTCCCAGTGCCCTTGGGATGAATCGAGACCGATGGATGCTACACATCCCCTGCCTGTCTTGTTTCATCTTCACTTTTCTCCTCGCAGTATTGGAGTTTCGTATCTGTTTTGTCTTTGAGACAGGGTCTCACTATGTAGTCCAGGTTGGCTTTGAATTCACAGTCATCGTCCTGCCTCGGCCTCCTGAGTTCAGGCATTATAGTTGTGCCCCACCCCCTGGTACTGGTATTGGAATCTTGAGCCCAGAGCCTTACGCACGCTAGGCAAGGTGCTACCACTGAGCTATATCCGCAGCCCTTAACGTTTTATTTTGGGATAGGATCTTGCTGAAGTGAGATGCTCAGGCTGGGTTTGAACTTGGGACCCTGCTGCCTCACCCCCCTGAATAGCTGGGCTCACAGGTGGTCGTTGCTGAGCCTGCCTGCCGAACCCCCTTTCTCATCCACTTGTTCCTCTACTGCAGACACGGAAGACGAATTTCTTCCGCTTAACTAGACTCGAACCAACTGACGTGCAGTGCTGCCTGCATTGTTCTCCTCAGCCTGCCCTTTGCCAGCCCAGCTCTTCACGTGCTTCTGAGACGATTTCTCGCTATGTAACCCGGGTTGGCCTTGAACTTGTAGCCGTCCTTGCTCAGCTCCCGCAGTGCTAGGATGATAGGTGTAAACCACCATGCCCAGTTTATAGAAGGGGATTTTTAATATCTGCACTGTGGCTGAGGCAGGAGGATCTACACAAGTTGAAGGCCAATCCTGTGACCTAGTACAGCCTGAACAACGCAGCAAGACCCTTTCTCCAAAATAAATAAAAATTAACAAAGGCAGAGGAGGGATGGTGATGATCTGTGAGTCTCCCCTATGTGAGAGTCCAAAGTAACAGAAATGTCAAATCACTGCCCCTTAAGATGTCCCTTGGGTCACGGGTGTACTGAGGCACTCCATCCTCTCCTTGTAATGGCCAGGCCAGCACCCTGACTAAGAGGCTTAGGCATTAGCCCTGAGGTGCCCAAGACACTGCAGCACCATAGGACCAGAGCTGTGGGTTCCAGCTTTCCAGCACTGAATTGGGCCGCGGTGGACCTGCTGGCTGGTGCTCCATAAGACTGGGTAGTTCTGTTTTGTTTTTGAGACAGGATCTAACTGTAGTCCTGGCTGGGCTTGAACTCATGATCCTCCTGCCTCAGCCTCCTGAGTGCTCTAGTTGCCAGCATGTGCCACCATGCTTGGCTAGACAGAAGCTGTTTTGAGTCTGGCTGGAATACAGCCCACCAGACCCCGTCCTAGGAAGCAAAACCTCACCTAAAGTTCACCCTGGTGGCGGCTGGGGACGAGCGGTGGCCATGCAGGAGAAGGAAAGTTGGGACAGTGCCTCGCAGTGGCTTTCCCCCGTTTTATTAAAAATAGACCCAAACACTTTATGTATCAAAGAAAAGTTTCTTTCGCTGGTGGCAGCCACGGGAGCCCCGCGGCCCTGGTGGTCCAGCTGCCCTCCAGGGGCCCGGGCCGCAGGGAGCAGTGGCCGGGCCCTGGACAGAGGCTGCAAGGACTGCTCCTTTGCTCAGGCCCGGCCAGCTGGGGTGGGGCTGGGCGGTGCTGCGTTCCCTCCACCCTGCCACTGGCAAGGGCTAGAAACTCAAAGTACCCCTCCCGTGCCAAGGTAAACAGCGGGGTGATGTGTGCCCCGCAGCTGCTGCCTGGGGCCTGGACTTGGGGTTCCCCTCGGCCCGAGTCCTTTCCCCACCCTCAGACTGGCGTCCGAGGCCAGGGCTCCCTGAGCCCAGCCTGGCCTCTGCTATCCTGTGGCTGAGGATCTGCCAGGCCCCGCACCTCCGTGTGTGCTCAAAACAAGATGGGCCGCGTCCGGCTCCTCCCCTGGTCCCCTGTCCAAGTCCTCGCCCTGCCATCTGCATCCTGGACCTCAGGGCACAGGACACGGCCCCCACACCCCCGCTTCTGGTGCTACCAACTGCTGCTGCCGCCCCTGGGCCTTCAACACCCCAGGGTCCCCCAGACCCCTGCTGCCTGGAGCGCGGTGAGGGCAGGGAGGCAGGTGGAGCCGGTCCGGGTGGGCGGGCGGGTGGGCAGTACACATGCTGGTATGGACCTCGTGGCAGGGCTGGGGCAGGCGTGGGAGGGTGGGGCATGCGAGGGGCGCAGCCGGCCTGAGCCCTCAGTCCCAGCCGTCGTCCTTCACCATGTGTGACATCTCGATGATGTACTTCCCCTCCTTGTACTTCTGGCTGGTCTCGAAAGCTTGCTCCTGATGGGGAGAGAATCAGTGACCTCAGGACCAAGCTTGCGCTGGGGCCCCAAGTCCAGCTCGATCCTGGGGCTCTCTTCCCCAGGGCCTGGTCTCCCCGGCACTCACGTATTTCCAGCCCAGCGTGGTCTTGCAGCTCTCACAGAAGATGTCAGCCACGGAGTGCAGCCCGGTGAGCAGCAGGCGCTGTTCAGCCGGCCCACAGCCCACGTTGACCCTGTCCAGGAAACAAGGAGCCAGCGCCCGCCAGGTGGCTCCATCAGTCCAGCCCGAAGCAGCCCAGAGGAACCGGAGGGCCCACGGCCGCATCACCCCACGGTGGGGAGGCAGCCCCGGGCACTTTGTCTAGGGCTGATACTGGCTCTGCAGACCAGCTCCTGGAACCCCTCTGCAAAAGGCAGAGCGAGAGGAACGCACAGGACTACTTTCTTTGGGGGGAGGGGAAGGTTGAGACAGGGTCTCCTCTGGAGCCCAGGCTGGCTTCAAACGCATGGCGATCCTCCTGCCTCAGCCTCTCAAGTGCTGGCATGACAGGCTTGTGCCACCACGCCGGGCTAAAGAACTTTCTGATGGCTCACCCTGTCCGTCCCCAGAGCACGAGGCACACACACACAAGCACGGGCACACACGCGGGAGGAGAGAAGTGGACTCACACGGAGTTAAACAGGTAGGCTCGGCCATGGCTCCCTTGGAAGGACTGTGGAGACACAAGGCGGACGGTGACCGGCGTGCGTGCCCCCGGCTCTGCCCGAGGCCTAGGTGGCCTTGCACTCAGCACAGCGGGGCCCCCAGTGTACCTTGGAGATGAGCTCATCCTGCTTGGCCAGGTGGGCGCGGCAGTGGACGCAGCTGTAGGTGCGGTGGCAGCGCGGCAGGTAGCTGCGGAAGGTCTTGGCGGGCAGGCAGGCAGGGGCCGGGCCTGGGTTGCAGCTGGGCATGACGGGCTGCAGCACGATGCCCTGGCGGGCCGGAGGGGCCGGCGCCGTGCAGCCCCCGCAGAGCCGGTCGCAGGTGAAGCAGCGAAGCAGGTTGGCTAGAGCCGTGTTTCAGGGCGGGAGAGCCGCGGGGGGCTCCCAGCCAGGGCCCCCCCAGACAAGAAGTGGGGAGAAGCGGAGTCACCTGCGGAGAGGGCCTGGGAGTGAGGGGAGCCCTGGTGAGGTGGGCTCGGCCCCCTGCGCCCTGCCTCCCGGCCTGCACCGCCCTGGGCTTCTGCCAGAGCAGGGACACGGTGAGGGTCTCCTGGGGCTGGAGCAGCCTCTGCCGTTCTCCACCGAGAGCATGTTGCTGGCACCGGTGCTACCAGGGGAGCCACGTCATCAGCACGGGACTGGCCTTGGTGTCCGGGGCCTCAGTGACAAGCAGGGCCTACAGGGCCATGTGATGGGTGCAGGGTCTCCCCGACACTGGGCTGCCTGGCAGCCCTGCTTTTCCCGGCCTCTTTCTGCGGGGTAGCAGGCCATTCTACCAGCGGGTAGCAGGTGCCCAGCCTGGCTCTACGCACTCTGGCTGTCGACCTCGGCACGCCTGTCCCCCAGCCCCGCGCCGTGGCCCCTCATTCCAGCCCGGAAGGAGCACGTGGCTGTGTTCCAGCCTCTGAGCCACTCGGTCTCTCCCTGGCACTATTTACTCAGCCAAAGACTGGCTGGAGCCGTGGGAGAAAAGCCCGCTTTCCTGGGGCTGGTCTGACAACGGGACCAATGGGAGAAGCCGGAGTCCTGGGCTGGGCAGGGCTGCCCAGTGCAGTGCGGGAGCAGGGAGCCCAAGCAGCCATGGAAGGAGCTCCCGGTTTTTAGAAGCTGCACTTCGAGCTGGTCGTGGAGGTTCACGCCGCACGCGTGCAATCCCAGCACCCTGGGGAGGCTGAGGCAGGAGGATCACAGGTTTTCGAGCCCAGCTTGGGCACCTTAGCAAAACTCTGTCCATAAAAAGTGGGAGGATGCTGGGGATGTAGCTCAGTGCAAAGGCCTGGGGTCCGCCCCCCCCCCGTACCTCAAAACAATATATAAATAAAGATGTTGCTTGGGGTACAAGACTGCTTCCTTCTCCCTGGGCCAGGCACAAGCAGCAGTGACTCAGGGCAACTGAAGATGAAACTAGCGCTGCCCCACGCCAGCCCCGGAGTGGCCGAGCTGCTGGAGCAGAGGATAAGAAGGGAGGTGGCCCCTGTCCGCCCTGATAAGCAGGTGCGGTGCTGCCCTGGCCTTGGTGGGCAGCCGCAGGCAGCTCAGCCCGCGTTTGTGCCCCGGCAGCGCCAGAGCAGCGAGGCACAGTGGCATCAACTGCCAGTCAGACTGGCTGTCCCTGTCCTGTCCTCTGCGGTGGCCACAGGCCCCCGCCGCGCTGCTCTCTCTGAGGGCCACCCAGCAGCCGAGCCCAGAACCCTCCATGGACACCAGGGCCCGGAAGACACCCTGGGCGGAATCTGGGTGACACTGGCTTTTGGTGGCCCTCGTGGCTACCTGTTCTCAGGTAGACCCCCTCCAGTGGCTGCTGTCAACTTTGCCCGAGTTCCCCTCTGACCACGGCCACCTTGAAACGCTTCCTTGGAGGCTGGGGGGTGAGGGGCCAGCTCAGGAGTCAGGCCCGCCTTGGCCTTGGTCCCCAAGCTCGGGCCAACCGGCACACCTCCTTCCCTGCACCCAGCCCGGGGAGGCTGCCTGGAGGCTAGCAAATCCCTCGGGGACACCGGGGTCACGGCTTCTCCCCTTGTGCCCTCCCAGGGAGCGGCAGGTCAGCCGATGCTGGGCAAACAAAGGCCAGCTGGGGCCGGAGGAGGCTGCGTCCCCGATGTGCCAGGTGCGCCGCGCTGGGCCTTGGGGGCGGGGAGGGGGTGGCAGCTGACGGCAGCGGAGGCTGAGAAACCAGGTGCGAGCGGAATCGCGTGCCTCTCAGGAAGCAGGGGGCGGGGGAGGGGACACCTGCTGGGGGATGCTGTCTGCTCGGGACCCCCCCCCTCCCGGCTGGCGCTCTTGGGATTCAGGGGTCCAAGGGTCGGCGCCGCCAGCTTCCAGGCCAGGTCCGGGGGTCCGCACAGCAGCCGTGCAATGCACAGTGACGCCGATGCCGCAGCCAAAGTTGCCGGGAAATAAGTGCGGGAGTCGCAGCTTGGAGAGGGACGGAGGAGCGAGCGCAGCCAGGCCGCGGGGCGGGGGCAGGGCGAAGGCGGTGAGCGATGCTTGTGCCAGGGCGGGGACGCGGCACGCGGGGAGGGGACACGGCAGGGGGACCCGTCTGGAGAAGGGCTGGCCCCTCACCTTGAGGTCGGCTGCGGAGAGCTCCGGCCAGCGCTCTCGAGCTCGCGGTCTCCGCGCCCGCTGGGCTCCTCGCGCTCGGCTCCTGCGGCTGGGGAGGGGGTGGCCGGGGGCGCGGGGCCGGGGCTGCCGAGCGCGGACAGCTGCGGGGCCAGAGGCGGTCTGCGGGCCGCACCTCGGGCTGGGTGACCGCGGCTGTGTGCTGTGGGAATGCATCATAACACTGTGACTCATCCGTCCCCCGCCCCCTTCCCTCCCACGTCAGAGCGGGGCTGGGAGACACAGGAGCGGGGAGGGCGGCAGGGCGCGGGCCGCGGGCGGAGGAGGGCAGGGGCGGGCGCAGAGGGGCCGGGCAGCGTGGCCGAGGAGAAGGAGCGGCTGGAGCCCGAGGGCGGGCCGGCGAGGTGGCCGGTACCGAGGGCGCAGGCTGGGAGGGGCGCAGGAAGCGCGCCCGCGCCCATTCGCCAGGCGGTCTCCCCCCTCGGGCTCAGACGCGAGTCCTGACGCAGGGAAATGGTCACGGTGGCGGCTGTGCCCCAGACGCGTGCCGTGCTGGGCACCACAAGCCTCAGAGCCTCTACTCCGTGTGCCCAGAGCAGCCCCGGGTGACACAGGGCAGCTCGCGCCCGACCTCGGGGTTCGTGGATGAGACCCCCGTGGCACCCGAGGTGCTCGCTGGGGCAGGTCCTCGGGGAGGCTCCCCCGGTACCCCAGGACTGCCGAGCCTCCTGAGCGCCCTGGAGAGAGGCAGGTTCCCTGCCTGGCGGATGGACAGAGTCCAGCTGCAGCTTCGGATGCCGGCAGAGCCTGGCTTTGGCCTCAAAGTCACCTGGGTTGGAATCTCAGCGCTGCCAATTCCTTGCCAGGGACCTCTGGGCAAGCGGCAGAGCTGCGCTGCACCTCGGGGCCCCTCTTCTGCCAGACAAAGCACACATTTACCTGACAGTGGTGGGAAGGAAACACAACGTGGAAAGGCCCCCAAGTGCCTAGCTCGTGACAGGCACCTAGTAAACAGTAGTGTTATTTCAAAACAGCACTCTCAAATGATTCAGGTGCTGTGTGTGCCGGGTTTGGTGTTCCATAGCATTTTTAGAGGCTGAGGCAGGAGGAACTCTGTGAGTTCGAGGCCAGCCTGGGCTACATAGCTCAAGGGCAGCTGCTGGGCTACATACTTAGACCCTGTCTCAACCTCCCCACACTCCCCCACAAACACTGCAATGTGTATATGTACATGTACCAATTCTCCAAGATGAGTGCGGTTATTATGCATTGCAAATATACTAATAGAAAATAAAAATGGAAAGATAAAAACAGCATTGTGGACTTACTACCTCTAAACCCAGAGAAGACTTACTGATATTTTCTGATATTTCAGGAAATATGCCAAACTTGTCTTATGGAGAAATTATATTTTTCTTCTTTTTTTTTTTTTGGTCCTTTTGGTAGTACTGGGGTTCAAACTTGGGGCCTTCACACTGAGCTATATCCCCAGTCTTTTTTATTTTTTATTTTGAGACAAAGTCTCACTAAGTCTTTATGTTGCCCTAGCTGGGCTCAAATTGTGACCCTCCTGCCTCAGCCTACCAAAAGTACTAGGATTACAGGCCTGCACCACTACTATACCCCCTCCCTCAATAACTTTCTAGCACCTTCCTGTTAAATGTCATTAGACTCAGAATCCCACTCGTAGGGTACTGTGCTGTTTATGTCAGTAATGGGCTCAAAATATATCCCTAGGACAAAATCCCTGAATATTAATAACGTTCAGAAAATGAAGTGTGACAAAGACTAGGACTCCTAGGAAGCAATGCTGTCAGTGGTTTGTGTATCTTCTGCAAGGAAGCGGGAGGTTAAACCAAGGAGTTCTGAACATGTAATCAGGAAGGATTCTGGGCCTGCAGGTAAATTCTGAAAACACAGTGTGGGTATTTGAGGGATAGTACCAGAGGTCTGGAACTGAGAGGGAAAGGTAGGTAAAATAAAAAGAGGGAAATGGTCTTTTTTGGGTAACAGATAAGGGAGATTGTAAATGAAGGAGGAATTTATTTATTTATTTAGTCTTTTTGAGACAGAATCTTACCGTGCAGTTCAGGCTGCCCTTGAACTCACTAGTAGTAGCCCAGGTTGACCTTGAGCTCACAGCAATCCTCCTGTCTCAGCCTCCTGAGTGCTAGGATTACAGGCATGTGCCACCATGCCCGGTTTAAAGGAGGAATTTTTGAGGGGGAAAGATAACTAGTTTTCAGAGCATGGATTTAAAGTTTGGTAAAGGGGATACTCATGAATTTATGTCAATTCAGGAACAAAATGATCAAGGGTTTGGCTGGCGAGGGTGAGGACAGTGTCATTTGGGGGTGGGTTGGGGAGGCAGAAAATGCTGGGTGAAAGACAGAGTGAGAAGAGGGTGTAGGCAAACGCAGATGCTTTAAATGTTGTGCCCTTTACTTGTGCTTAAGAAGCAAAATGGAGCGCATTCTAAGGGAGAGAGGATTTTTCCTAAATTCAGCTTGAGATGGTTATACAATACCCAAAGAAAGATGACCTTCAGGTAACCGGGAGAAATCGCCTCAAGGGCGAAGAAACAGACCCAGGAGACAGATTACAGGGGAACGGGAAAGTACTTGGTCACCCAGGAAGAAAGTCTGCAAGGAAAATTTTGTTCCATCGGTTTTCTGAGACAGTGTCTTGCTAGGTAGTCTATGCTGGCCTTGAACCCTCTATGTAGCCCAAGCTGGCCTTGAACTCACAGCGATCCTCCTGCCTCAGCCTCCCAAGTGCTGGGGTTACAGGTGTGCATCACCACATCCAAACTGGAATTGCAAGTGTGAGACACGGTAAAAGATCAGCAGATACCCAATCATTAATGGAAGAATTGCATAATGCATGCTGGGAGAACAAATGAAATCACTAAAAGAAACCAGCAAAGGGAAGTGTGACAGCTGTGCTTGAAAAGTGAGGATCAAGCAGGAGACTCTGTCGGTACAGACCAAGGAAGCTGGGGTGATGAAGGAGTCACGTGTCTAGCAAACACAGGAAAATGTAAAACAGCACCTACTGCGGGGGGTTCTTGCAGGGTGAAGGACCTCACACCTGTGCAGCCATCGCACAGTACCTGGTCCTGACTCAGCATCTCTCTCCACCAAGGGCCCAGCCTCCTGCCAGAGCTGTCTCCGTCTCCTCCCCCAAGTGAAATTGGAGATAATAATGACCGTGCAGCGGCTGTGAAACAAGCTCCCTGGAAGGACTTTGAAAAATGTAAAGTGCCGTATAACTAGACATTATTATAGCGCCCCCGCCCTATCATCAAAACGTAAAAGCTAACATCAGATCGGACCTTCTCTGTTACAGACTCCGCGCTCAGCGCGGCTACGTGGCGCCCCACTCTGTCCAATCTTCAACACAATTTTAAGAGGCTGGGTACTGTTATTATCACCATTTTACAGGCCAGAAACGTCTGCCACAGGAAGCCTGTGATTTGCCCAGTCACACAGCGAGAGAGCAACCCGGGATTCCAAGGCCCACGCTTGTGTAAAGAGGCTTGCACACCAGGCTGAGGGGCACATGACTGACCTTGTACAGCTCCAGAGATCTATGGAGGAAAAGACCCCAGCAAAATGCCCAGCTCAGTGGGAAGGAGGTGTGACCCTCCCGTTGTTTTGAACCAGGCTCTCGCTTTGTAGTCCAGGCAGGCCTAGAACTCACTGTGTAGCCCAGGCTGGCCTCGAGCTCGTGGCGATCCTCCTGCCTCAGCCTCCTGAGTCCTGGTATCACTGGCGTGCGCACCACCGAGTCCGGCTTGTGATTAAGAGCCGGAAGAAACACTGGACCTTTACTACTTTGCGAAAGAAAGCTTTCTAAATGCCTCCTGCACACCAAACAGTGTCAGGCAGAGCCTGTCAGCCTGGCGTGGCTTGTTTTCCTCCACTTTTCCAACCGTTTGGTCTCTTCGCGCCAAAACGGGGTTTTGCTAATTTCCTCCACTTGCTGGCCTGGGGTTTAGGCAAGCTGTGCCCCGCGAGTCCGAGCTGATCACGCCTGTGTGTTTCTGCCAGGAGAGCGAGACTCAGACCTGTCCGGCCCCGCAGCCGCCCGGCCCCGACGCCCCGCCCACCTCCGGCGTCACGTGCGCAACAATACTCAACTACAACTCCCAGAAGGCCAAGCGGCTGCGCGCGCACCATCCCCTCCCTTTCCGGCGCAACTACAGCTCTCAAAAGGCACCGCGCGCCCTTGCCCCTCGGCACTGCGCAGGAGCGGAGTCGTGTACGTTTCCGCGGTGCGTCTAGGCGAGCGCGGTTTGTAGTTGGGTTTGGGTCCTGTCCTGCAGGGCGTCGCGGTTTACTGGTTGGCTTGTGGCTCGACAGGTGAGAGAATACGCTCCGGGACGCAAAGGTCGCTGCCTTGGGGCCGGGGTGGATTCCAGCGTGCGGGGTGGCAGGGACAGACCGGGAGCGGGAGCCCAAGGCGTCACGTTTGCTCGGCGTTTGCCCCCCGGCCCGCCTTGCTTTCCCCTGGACTGCGCGGTGCGCGGGGAAGCGGAAGTGCCGCCGCTGGACAGCTGAGGGGCGGGTGCGGAGAGGCCGCCGGGCGTCCAAGGCGTTGTGTGGCGGGGAGTCCAAGCCCGGACCTCTGCTTGGCCCCGGATTGCGCGTGCCCTTTGCTTGTCGGCTAGGCGTGTTGGGGAGGGGGTCTCTGCTTCCTGCCTGTCTCCCCTGGAGCAGATCTGTGTGATGCGGGAGAGACGGGAGCGTGGTCCGCGGTAGCGCTCCTCTTGTAAGTCCTTCGCTCACCCGGTGTGTTTCTCGAGGCGGCCGCAGTGTGTAAAGCTCTGCGCGAGGACTAGCGGTGACAACGGCCGAGGAGATTCCCCGCCCTGACCCGCTAGTAGGGAAGATGCGCAGCGAACGTGTTCTGAGACAGAAGTAGTAAGAGGGGTGGAGAAAGTACGGGGAGCGTCGGCGGAGGATTCGGAACAGAGGCCTGGCGTGCGACTGGATCTGAAATTTCCCTTGTGCCGCAGCTCCCACCGCCACACCGACGAGATGGGCGAGGAGGCCAACGATGACAAGAAGCCCACGACCAAATTCGAGCTGGAGCGAGAAACGGAACTGCGCTTCGAGGTGGAGGCGTCGCAGTCGGTTCAGCTGGAGCTGTTGGCCGGCATGGCAGAGATCTTTGGCACGGAGCTGACCCGAAACAAGAAGTTCACCTTCGACGCTGGGGCCAAGGTGGCAGTTTTCACTTGGCATGGCTGCTCCGTGCAGCTGAGCGGCCGCACCGAGGTGGCGTACGTCTCCAAGGACACCCCGATGTTGCTGTACCTCAACACTCACACGGCCCTGGAGCAGATGCGGAGGCAGGCGGAAAAGGAAGAGGAGCGTGGGCCCCGGGTGATGGTCGTGGGCCCCACGGATGTGGGCAAATCCACCGTGTGTCGCTTGCTGCTCAACTACGCAGTGCGCCTGGGCCGCCGTCCTACTTACGTGGAGCTGGATGTGGGCCAGGGCTCCGTGTCCATCCCCGGCACCATGGGGGCCCTGTACATCGAGCGGCCGGCAGATGTGGAGGAAGGGTTCTCCATCCAGGCCCCGCTGGTCTACCACTTTGGCTCCACCACTCCTGGGACCAACATCAAGCTGTATAATAAGGTCAGAGCTGGCGCCGTGGCGGGCGGAGGTCGGGGTTGCTCTCAGGTAGGGAGCTGTGGGAGTCCGATAGCTAAACTACACTTTGCACCCTGTCACCTTGTTGCTTCTACTGCCGCACCATTTCAGAAAACACAGCTTCAAGTATTAGCCTCAGGTTGCTAAACCATTTTTGTGGACCTATTAGTAATTTATTAAATGTCCGTGTAGGACATAAAATAAGAAGCAGAAACGACATGAAATAAAAAATTAAATCCATCTTCGAAGTCAAAACTACGGGCGTTACAATTGTTATTTGTCCAGCATGGGGGCACAATGGTGGCCTGCAATCTCAGTACTTAGAAGGCTGAGGCAGGAGAGTCACCGTGAGTTTGAAGCCATCCTGGGCTCCATAGTGAGTTCAGGGCCAGCCTGAAATGTCCTTTGGGGGCTGAGGGTGTAGCTCTGTGGTAGAGCACTGGCCTAGGGTGAGTTCCTGAGTTGAACTCCCAGCCCTGTGGAGGTACCACACAATAAGCCATTTCTCTGGTGCCCAGTACCACTTCAAGCCACTGATAGCCAGAAGTTGCCACTGATTGATTAGTCTCAATTTTTTTAATTTTTAATTTTTTTGGTGCGTGCTCGCAGTATCCATTCCTTGTGAGGGGTTGGTGCGCATGCGTCACGCGTCGGCATTATCTCCCCTTCCCTGCCCCTTGCCCGGCATTTTCGTTCTCATCTTGGTCCTTTCATTGCAGATCACATCTCGCTTAGCAGATGTGTTTAACCAGCGGTGTGAGGTGAATCGGAGGGCCTCTGTGAGCGGCTGCGTCATAAACACGTGTGGCTGGGTCAAGGGCTCAGGTTACCAGGCGCTGGTGCACGCGGCCTCTGCCTTCGAGGTGGACGTGGTGGTGGTGCTGGACCAGGAGCGACTGTACAACGAGCTGAAGCGGGACCTGCCTCACTTTGTGCGCACCGTGCTGCTCCCGAAGTCCGGGGGCGTGGTGGAGCGCTCCAAGGACTTCCGGCGGGAGTGCAGGGACGAGCGCATCCGTGAGTACTTCTATGGTTTCCGGGGCTGCTTCTATCCCCACGCCTTCAACGTCAAATTTTCAGATGTGAAGATCTACAAAGTGGGCGCCCCCACCATCCCTGACTCTTGTCTGCCGCTGGGCATGTCACAAGAAGACAACCAGCTCAAGCTGGTGCCCGTCACGCCCGGCCGGGACATGGTGCACCACCTCCTGAGCGTCAGCACGGCCGAGGGCACTGAGGAGAACCTCTCGGAGACCAGCGTGGCCGGCTTCATCGTGGTGACCAGCGTGGACCTGGAGCACCAGGTGTTCACCGTGCTCTCTCCAGCGCCCCGGCCCCTGCCCAAGAATTTCCTGCTCATCATGGACATCCGGTTCATGGATCTCAAGTAGAGGTGGGCAGCAAGCCACGCCCTCCGGAGCACGGGCCATCCTCTGGCGACAGCCAGAGGACATATGGGCAGAGGAGGGGCGAGGCCGGCTGTCCTGGAGACAGCGCCAGGGAAGCATACAGCCTCGCTCTGGGCCAGACTCTTCCAATCTGGAACCAAAAGGGGGGCCCTCAAGAAGAAATTGCCTTTTTTAGGTCACCCAAGATGCCATTTGGAACTCTGAGATCTCGGAGAATTTTGTTTTTTTTCAAGGTGCTTCCACATGGACTGTTTTTATTACCACTTTATATGAAATGTATACGACTGGCTGTCTTACTGATTCAGGACAAGAGTGTAAATTGGAGGGATTCTTTTCAATAAACTTCAAATAAAAAATTATTTTAATATATTTGCTATATCATGGAAGTGTAATTTCTTTTCTTTTCACTTTTTTTTTTTTGAGACAGGGTCTCTCTGCGCAGTTCAAGCTGACCTTGAGCTCACTTTGTAGCCCAGGCTGGTCCTGAACTTGCAACGATCCTCCTGCCTCAGCCTCCCGAGTGCTAGGATTACAGGCATGTGCCACCACACCCGGCCCTGTTCATTTTCTCTTCTGCGGTTACCTTTCGTGTTGCCTGTGTGATGAGAAGCAGGTCCTAAGTCAAAGTATAGCTTAGACTTTCAGGTAGGAAGAGGCTGCGATGCGACAGCCTGTTCTCTGTGAGGGCTTGCCGATGATTGTTGGGTGCCCCTAGTTTGCACTTGGCTTGCTGAGTACCTGATCCCATTCATCCAGTCCTCCTTACGAAACTATCATTTTTTGTGGTGCTGGGATTCAACACGGGGCAGTGCTGCTCTCTGCCAGGCGCCATCCTTGGTGGGGACAAGAGGGACAAAGTTGTGGTGGTCGTCTGTGAAAGGACAGATCGAACTCAGGAAGCACTAGGCAGAGACTTGACTTGGGCGACAGGAGACAGCGAGGCCGCCGGAGCCTGCGTGGTCAGTAAAGAGCCTTCTTGTTTAGTCTGGCGCTAGGGATTGGAGACAGCTCCACCACAAGCCCTTTTTATTTTGAGACAGGGTCTGAGTTGCAAGATTGCCCAGGCTGGGCTTGAACCTGCCGTGGGCCTCAGCCTCGCAGAGTGGTGGGGTCCGGCCTGCGCCACCACACCTGGCGGGCAGATGAATAAGAACGAGAAGACGAAGTGATAACTGCTGCAAAACTGACCTGGGGAGGAGGCACGCGAGGCCGTGCGGAGAGCACGATGGCAGCCGATGAGTTTACTAAGAGAAGGGAGCCGTGGCGTTGCGGCGGGGGCGTGGCGCACATCTGCAGTCCCAGCACTTGGAGACCCACTTGGAGACCGAGGCAAGAGGATCACAGGTTCGAGCCCAGCCTGGGCAATTTAGCGACGCAGCGGGATCCTGTCTCAAAATAAAATATAAAAAAGGGCTGGGGATGTAGCTCAGTGTGCAAGGCTTGGGTTCAAAGTCTAGTAACAAAAAGAGGGCGCCGGCGCCGTTCTTGTACATCAGGGAGAAGAATGGATTCGGTCCTAGGAGCGGTGGGAGACCTCTGGAGCAGAGAGCGGTGTCAGGCGGAGGAACGACGACATGACCTACTTTACACTTGGAGGAGATCACTGCTGTGTGCGAGTGTGTGGGGCGGCGGCGTAGCAGGAGGTGGTGGGAGGACACTGCTGGGTTAGAGTCCCCGTGAGAACTGAGGCTGGGTGACAGCAGCTTAGGTAGAGCGAGGAGAGTTACTGTTCGTGCTTGGTCTACTTTGGAGTTTACTTTTTTTTTTTTCTTTTTGAGACAGGGTCTTGCTATGCAGTCAGGCTGAATTTGAGCTCCCTTTGTAGCCTAGGCTGGCCTTGAACTTGCAAAGATGCTCCTGCCTCAGCCTCTCGAGTGCTGGGATTACAGGCGTGCACCACCACACCCAGAAACTTTGGAGTTTACATAGCCCGGGCTGGCCTTGAACTCATGATCCTCCTGCCTTAGCCTCTGGAGTGCTGGGGTTATGTCAGCAGGTGTGCCCCACCGTGCCCTCATCAGAATATTTTGAAAGTAAAATAGGTAGGACTTGCTGATGAGTGACGAGGAAAAGAAACTGGAATCCAGGATTTCTTTTTAAGAAATGAAACCAAGGGCCTGTTTTTAATTTCAGCAACTAGATTGGCTGCGACTGGGCAAACTCAGGCAGGGGACAGGGAATACCCAGACTGTCCCAGCGCCGCTCCAGTTCCAGCTGTCGGTTAGTCATTCCCCCTGGGATGGAACAGACAGCTCGGATCTGAAGGCTCAGAGCCACTGGCCTACGGAGGGGCTTGAACTGTGGAAATGGAAATGAGGAAGCAGCGAAGACTGTGCTCAGGCAGGTGCTCGGGATGTGCTTGAAGCCGCAGAGCTCTTCCCAGCATGCACTGGTCCTAGGCTTGCTCCCAGAGCCCAGGAGTGGGGAAAGGTCAAGCGCAAGAGCAGCTGGGCAATGACATCACTGTGGATCTCCTGAGCACTGATGTTTCAGCACTGACACTAACTGGGCATGATTACTTATTCCTGTAATCCCAGCACTCGGGAGGCTGAGGCAGGAGGATACTTGTGAGTTCAAGACCAGCCTGGGCCACAAAGTGAGCTCAAGGCCAGCCTGACTGCTTTGCCAGACCCTATTGCAAAAAGAGCAACAACAAAAAAAGAACTGAATGAATGAATAAATTCCTTGGTTTAGGGCTGCAAGGGCATTCATTCCTTTTTACTTTTCCCTTTTTTGGGGGTAGCGGGTATGGAACTCAGAACCTTGCACGTGCCAGGCAGGCTCTGTGCCCTATCCCTGGCTCATTTCTCTCTGACTGTTAGGCTGTACTAAAAGTGACCCTGTGGTTTGCCATGTATAGGTATAAGAAAATGCAAGTGAAAGAGATTCAAAAAAGCACAGCCAGCCAGATGTGGTGGCACAGGCCTGTGCTCCCAGCACTTGGGAACCTGAGACAGGCAGGTAACCAGTTCACGGGCACCCTCGACTACCTGTGAAGACCTGGTCTCAAAACCAGACAGCGGGCACAGTGGCACATGCCTGTGATCCCAGCACTTGAGAGGCTGAGGGAGGCTGAAGCAGGAGGTTCGCCATGCATTCAAGGCCAGCCTGGGCTACACAGTGAGACCCTGTCTCAAAAAAAAACAAAACAAAACATACATGAAAACACTAGAAAAAAACTATTAGGTATTCATAGACATATCAAAATAGTATTTTTAATTTTTATAGAATTATTTTATAATAGTCACCCACAAAATAATTTTTAAAATTTATTTACTTATTTTTTATCTTTTTGAGACAAGGTCTCACTATGCAGTTCAGGCTGGCCTTGAGTTCACTCTGTAGCCCCCAGGCTGGTCTCGAACTTGAGACGATCCTCCTGCCTCAGCTTCCCGAGTGCTGGGATTACAGGCTGGGGCCACCACACCCGGCCAAAATACTATTTTTAGTACCATTGTTACGGTTTGTGTCTTGGTATCCCCTCAAAGCCTCATGCAGTCATGGGGCAGACTTCTAGAGTTTTTGATTAATCCACGGTCCAATGCTGGGATTATGGGTGGGAGTGCTACACCCGCCCTTGGGGGGGGGGGGAGGCTGCATACAATACAAGGGAGGGAAGGGGACTTGCTCTGTCCCTCTCCTCCCTTTTTGCTCTTGCTGCTTTGCTGTTTTCTGCTGTCCTGAACTGTTGCTCTCTGCCACATGCCTGCTTTGGAGCCAGTTGATTATGGACTGAAACCTCCACAAACTGAATAAGATAAACCTTTCCTTCTCTAATTTTGGGTGTTGGGCATTTTGTCCCAGCAAGGACAGCAGAGTAACTAACACAATCACGATCTGGATATTTTTTGTTTTAAGCTAGATTTTACTCCAGACTGCTACTTAGAAGTGGCTAGCACTTTAAACCTTAGGTTCTATCCAACATCCTTTCCAAGATACACTTTGCCCGTTCCGAAGGAAAACTGGATAGGAAAACCGACTCTGTAAATGTTGGGATAGTAATTCTGCCTCGTTCCCGGTGAGCCAGGAGAGCAGCTGTGGGAGGGTGAAAGGTGGGAGGCCGTGCGTCTTTTTCCCTGAGCCCCTCTCGCCAACAGACATCACGATGCCTACAGGTTCTCAGTTGTAGTGGAAAAATAAAAATGCCAATTTGTGAAGTGGTGGAAAGGAAAAATCTTAACCTCTAACAAAAAAATTAAATGCAATTTCATTTTAGGGAAACAATGATTTAGAGGTCAAAAACACGCGCTGTAAATATTCTACCTCCAGCAGAACTTAAATGTATCTTTTTTACAATTTAAAAGTCTTCAAAAATACTAACCATTCTCAACTATGTTGCAATAAATGCTGGGTTGAAGCCCATAGCAAGGACGAATTAGAACTAAGTGATGGATGCCTCTAATTCCAGAATGGAGGCTGAGGCAGGAGGATCGGCGTCAGTTCCGGGCCAACCTGAACTACATGCGAGGCCCTCTCTCTAAAAACCAAAAGAGGAATGAATTAGGATTAATAATAAATGCCAAGACAGAGTAGGCAGGACCCCAGGAAACAGGGCAGACGCCTCCAGCTCCTGGCTGCCTGATGCCAAAGTGTCAGGACCAGTCACACTTGCAGTTGCATCCCCAGGCCCGACCCTGGAAACCAGGCCGAGCACGCTCGGCAGGACGGAGATAGGGTCCGTTCTTTCCGGAGCTGTTACATAACTGCCAGCGCTGCTCTCGGATGGGAAGCGGCCCGAGCTCCGCGAGAGGGGCACGTGTGGCATCGCCATGGGCTTCGCCGCCGTCCCGGGCTAATTAGGGCAAAGCGTCGCGCTGTGATCTTCGGGGACTCGGCCAGCAGCTCGCCAGGGACTGGAGCTATTCTGGAGAGCCGCGGCTGTGCGGCCGCATTCTCAGATCGGGTGCGGGCGGGAGGCAGCGCAGAGCTCTCGGATCCGCAGGGCTCGCCGCCTCGACTCGCGCCGCTCTCCCCGCCCGGCTCCGGGGCCCGGCGGGGACCTCACCCTGCCCTGCGTGTTCTCCCAGGCCGGCCCTTTCCAAGTTCGAGCCGCGGCCCAAAGCGCTCAATACCCAGGAATCACGATAAGACCAGCACAGCCAGGTGTTTTAAATAAAGTTTAAGCTATTAAAAAAAAAAAAAAAAAAAGAAAAAGGTGGCGGTGGAGGGCAGCTTCCTTACGCTCCACGCGGTTGGCCAATGCGTGAAGGGGCGGAGCAGGAAGACGGGGCGGCCCGTCCGTAATTGGCTATGCTAGGAGCCAGTCTGGACCATACCACTTTTATTGGGGGGATATTGGTGAATTTGAGAGTGGCCCTTGCATTAGAGTAGTTCCAGTACACATGTATACTTTTTTTTAATTTAAAGTTTCTGGTTGGATACTGCAGGAACGTAAAATAGGACGCAGGGGAAAGGAGGACTCGCTTAGTTACTTCCCCATTCCCAACTCCTGCGCAGTTGGCCAGCCTTCCTCGCCGAGTCGTCCGCGGAACTCCGCGGCCCTGCGCGCGCGCTCCCGCCGCTCTGCGTGCTTACGGCGCTGTGCCCCTGTAGCCAATCAGAACGCGAGGTCGCCGCGTTCCCCGGCGCTCGCGCGCACGCATCGGAGCGACGTGGGGGTGGGGGCATGGGTGAATGAGAGAGTGAGCGGGGGCGGGCGCGGCGGCGCGAGCCTCATGAATGAGAGGAACGTGCCCCGCGCGAGACGCCGCGCGCACCCGGGCCGGGGAGCCAATGGGAACGCCGGGAGGGCGCGAGCCCTGGCTCTGAGGGCCGCGGCCGCGCACCGGCACGAAGGCGAGCGTCGCGGGCGGGAGCGCGCGAGCGGGGCGGGCGTGGAGCGTGCGGGGGCCGCGCGCTGCCTCCTCTCTCAGCGGCCGGACGGCACTGCTGGGAAGCGGCGGTGACAACGACGGCGGCGGTGACGGGC